CCACACATAGTACATGAGTATCGACATTCATAACTTCTTCTCTGCAGCACCTTTGGGGTAGGTTTGTCGCCTCCCAAGCGCCAACAATGGTACCAGATGCTACATCCGGTTCCGATGCTTGCGCTCTTTGCCAACAACCATGGTTGACCCTTTGGAGATTAACTGGGGCTGTGCGTTGTGTAATGCAGGAAGGACAAGGTCTATGCCTACGGGGTGGAATTATTGGCAGCACATCCGCGTTAGCATGTGGCTTTCCTGATCGGTTACATACCCACAATCATGCACCTGTAGCTGTCACTGCCACTGTGCGATATACCCCACAGGAACTTTGAAATGCTGTAGTCACCTAAGTGCCTTATGATCTGTCCGTATCACAAATGTTCTCCCCCAGAACGTACTGTCGGTTTTGTCTTATGAAAATATTCTAGGCAAAAAATTTTATACTGTCAGGCTTCTTCTGTAAGAACGCGGCCCCGATCGCAGTCACTTGAGGCAGAATCCAAGATGAATTCCCCCGCTGGTAGCGCTAAATCCAGGAATACATATAAAGGAATGGTAACGGTGACTCTAGTAACAGATCGAACCACTTCTGATGTTCCAGGAACCCTCGAACTGCTGATAGTTGTGTAGTAGTACGTCTAACGGCGCAGCGATCAGAGACCACCCCAATAAACTGCCTGTGCTATGGTACAAGACCAATAAAGCTGCGTAACTGGCCGGTGTGAACTGAAACTCGTCATGCTTTTACCTGTTCTGTCTTACGTGGATCAGTCCGAAGTTCCATCCTCGAAACGATGTGACCAAACTGACACCTCTGCTGACAGTAGGTGAAAATTTGTAAGTTGCAATTTTGGGCCAACCTCAATAGACATGTCAGCACCCCGACAGCTTGCTTAAATATTTAGCCGTTGTTTTCCCATGGATAATAACACGATACCAGCACAAATGACGGGGAACCAGTCCGTTCAATAATTTTTACGTTGCGCCTTGAAAGGTTGCAGCTGCGTTTGCTGGCCAGAAAGCCATCGTCCGCAATGCGCAACGACCAGACGGCACCACACAAACTGTTTTCGCCTGGTAACGCTCGTCGGCTTGGGTTTTCCAGGGCCAAGGATCCACGTCAAACGCACTAAAATATGTAGATCCGCCAAGTGCACCAAACATGTCCCCGATCTTAGGGATGGATGTGTCTTTTGGAGTGACTATCTTCAACTATCCATAGTCCAAGCACAACCAGAAAACAAGGTCTCGCTTCATGACCAAAACAACCTGCGATGCTCATGGAAAAGTAGAACAGTACACAACACTTTGGCAACATTTCACCTATTAGCTTTTGTAGCTTCCTCTGCCAAACTACCGGATTTCGCCTCTGTGGTCTCTTAATCGTTCTCGCAGCCCCGGTACCTATCGAGTGCTTAGCGACGCAGGTTCGGCCCAAAGCTCCGGTTTGCCACGTGAATGCATTCGAACCATCTCGCAACATACCCCTGGGTCTTTTCAACTTCGCTCATCAACTGATAGATGGATGGAAGGAACATTGTCTATGCACTGCGCACTAGCAGGGCGCTTTCACCGAATCCGAAAGCCTCTGCACATGCACTTCGACTGTCTGGGTATTTTAGTATTACGGGTAGTGGCCAGTAGAAGCATGTGCCGGTCAAACCTGCATTACCATTTTCTAAGTACAACAGCGGTGCTCCGGAATTGGGCTGAGGGACTGCCTCGGTCTGAGATGGGGGACATTAACTAATAAAGACTTCCTGGACCATGGCTTTAAAACAAAACCAACCAAGTGCACCGGACACCCTAACGACTGATATCCATTGAGGATAGCTGGACACGACTTCCTCACACTCCAACAAGAATACATACTTAGAGAAAGTAAGGCCACAGTCTTCTGGAAAGTGTACTTAATTGCATAATTATCCATCATACTAGACTGGCCACAACGACTACCCCGGGTCCTGACTGAGCTATCTGATCAGCCAACAGACGAGAAATTCGACCTCGAACAGCTGAGTGAACTAATGGTTGATAAGTGGCTTTCCAGAGGTACGGGACTGTTCAAAACGATCGACGTCAGGGTTACAGGACGTGGTGAGTTTCCGCCTGGTAAGCGTGCTGCCATTAAAAAACACAAAAATCCGTTTATCTACTCTGCGACACGGTGGATGTGACTCGCCACTGAGTAAACTCACTGCCCACAATAACACTCCGGCATGCTGACAAGAGACGTTTTAAGCTATTTTATTGCCACCTACAAAAATGACACACTCAGTCTCCACCTGCTGCCATCAATTCACATACATTGTTCTTCCTGTTTACTCTACGCACACATGAATATGGTTCATCGTCACCACTCTGACGACTGCTACTCATGAGTACTTCCGTTTGTGCAACTTGTACAACTTTTGGCCACAGCCGATTACATGCATTATAATGTATCTGTTGCGTAACATAAATGGTTTTACAGTGTGAGCATGTCTGAGTTAGCGTGGCACGCTGAATTCGAGAATAAAATATCTATTTCTTTATTTATTTAGATCCATCCCCATAATAACAGTAAATTGGATTGTGTTTACAACGATGAACTGGTGGTGAAATAGGCCGTTCGCTATCGCGACTAGAGCTGGAATCGATTCCCGGACTGTAATGGGTTCTCCGTTGGCACTGGGCAACCGGTCACGGTAAAGTGCTCATACCAAGCTTGTTAACTGTGTATTCGAGTTATATTTAACCAAATTTTGCAAGCACACGTGTCCAGAAAATCTAGCAATGGGGTTTCCGAAAACTGAAATCCTAACTGCAATGCCGAGGTAGTAGATGGCGAACAAGAAACCGCAGGTTTGAATTCCGACGTCCTTCGCTTAGGCTAACCTGTATTATTTTGGTTGTATCGTGGTGTTTCAAAATTCCGTTATGTCCGTTGTGTTTAGCGGAACCCTCGGAAATTTAGCTGGCCTGGTGGCTGGGGGCAAGGGAACCCATGAGGATCAAATGCACCCGACGTGCGTTCCGAGGGTCAATACCTAGGTCCGTAATGTCAGCTCACAGTACAGTACAAGATGGTGCAGGACCGATGGCCGCATCGACACGTTCTAACCGTCCTGCCTGTGTTATATCTGCGGCCTGAAGGTCAAGAGGACGCAACAGCAAGTCCTGCCGAACCGATGGCGTGAACAACCCATCCGCCAACTATTGTAACAGATGTTTTTCTCATAACACCGTTGTTTCATCAGCAAATGCTAGCCATCCAGCCGACTCAGATACCGTGCAAAGAATCTTCCCAATCCTACGGTTGTTGCAGAAGTGCAAGGAAGGGTTGTCGCCATTGGGTGGAAAGATGTACTGAGTCCGACAATTCTGCGACTTAGTCAAATTTGTTAGTGTTGACCGTTGTGTCGGAAAGGTTACCTGCACGAGCCGAAGGAAGAAGGTCCGCTCCGATAAACAAAATGCTGTCACCTGAAAGATAATTAAACTAGATGAGTAAATTAAGTGCGGCAAGTAGACAGTGAACCAATAGGGAAGCAGCTAACTATGTACGTGATAAGCGTGTCAGAGCTTGCTTGTACGTGCGGTCAAGCATGCTGGAAGCATACGTAACACCGATGCACTTTTCTAGTACATCACTATCCGTCACCATATTAAAGGATTCTCCAGAAAAAGTCTCAAGAGCACCAAACTCCGCCTTGCATTGGGAAATTGTCGAATGTATGTGTTTGCCTGGTTGGCTCAGCTGGAAAACGACATTCCCAAACAAAATGCCTCAGCTTCACGCATTGACGAGGTTCACTGCGTGTTGGGAGGTGCAAGAAACAGTTGCCGAATAAGATTTGCTAAGTCAGCTTTTCATCCTTTTCTTCACTCACTGCATTGGGCTATATGGATGATTTCGGCACTTACACTATGGATCTTGGCACGGTCGCCATTCGAAAAAGGGGAGAGACAGAAACAGGGCTAATACAATAAGAAGGGTAAAAAGGAATCAAGCTAACAATAAAAAGAACGAAAAACGTTAAATATCCTTTTACTAGTTCTTGTCATTATGTATACTTGAACAAATAGGACGCCTTGGATGGCAAAGGAGAAGATTGCGCCAAGGTAACGTCTCATTTTGCACCTTTGCTAATACTTCGGCTCAAAAGATGAAACTTTTCTGACTGAACTACCGTCGCCGCTGTGGTGACCGCATTCTTACTAGGCGCATACTAAGAGCAACTTAAAAAAGAATTACAACGGTTATTCCTGCTAAACACAGGAGACTCCATACGGCGCGAACATCATCAAACAGAGAAGGCTACATGTTCAGTCTGCTGTCGCTATATCCACCCGGGTGATAAGCGGCTGGAACCGCCTTCCAAGGAAAGTACTTTAGTGCTCATTCTAAAGAATGTTTCGTGGCTCATTGACTTCCACTTGAGTAAGAAAGCAGGATCGCACCGCTCTTTTGCGACGGATCCAGCGTACTAGGACTGCGTGTCACGGCGACTTGGTACTGCTCTACTCCGGGGGGGACAGACCTAATTTGGGACCCTCTGCCATTTACAGCGCAACGAAAAGCTCGGTCTTTTATTACATAAACGCGGTGTGACCTTGACAATATGCTGAATTGAATAGTAAAACAAAATAAGCGGTGCTAAATAACGTATATTACAGCCAGCCAAAGAAAAATAATAGCACAACTAGGCCTTTGACAAAATAAAACCGACTGACTGACGAGCTCGAACATTACCAGCTTTAACAGAGAATGGTTCAATAATTGTGTAAATGGGCGTGTATTATTGAATGCTTAGCCGGTGCCCGATTAAAGAAAACTGGCTGTTAATTCTAGTTACTGAATGAGAAGAAGCTGCGGAGTAAAGGATTCACCAAGTTTTCCCCACAAAATGCCTGCATTGCATTAGCCTGCAACCGGTGCACCTAAGCTGAATTAATATTATGATGTAATCTGCTAACTTGAACAGTAGTTAAAATAGGTGAATTCTTGTTGATGGGTTTTGCCTTGCTTGCTGATATGCACTGCATTTTAATATGGGTTTGTTTGAATCGGCAACCATGATTCGAATTCCTGTTTTTGTTTCAAATCGCCGTCGAAATGGTAATTGTGCTTTGTCCGTTCCTTATCTACTTTTTCGTAGGCCGGAGGCAAAGCTGGAAAGGATTCGGGAAAAGCTAAGGCAAAAGCCATATCACGCTCCCACCGGGCCGGACTCCAGGTAAACTCAGACGCTCCGATTTTAATGATGCTCCATCGCTTGTTTACACATTTTCTATGCAGAACTCAAATTCAGCTTATTTTTTGTACCATGTTATTGTCTCTGCTATTAGACATTTTACACTTTAAAGTAAGACACAACGATTGTTCCGCCTTTAAACTAAATGGTTCCGGAGTGAGTATACAGCCGGATCTCCCTTTAGCAGATAGGATAAAGCTTAAGGAAGCCATTTAGAGCCTTAAAGCGCGTCGTGAAGCTGGCGAGAAATGGTTATGTTTGGTGCGTTTTTGGATGATGAGCCGGCGATCCACTTCCGCCCTACCAGAGCCAATTCTGGTAGCACACGACCCGGTGCTCTCCATACCAAACATTTTTACATAGTTCTCAGTAATGTGTGTTGCCTGCAAAACGTGTGAAGTACGGACCCTAATAGACCACTCCCATCCTGATGTTCTCACGTCCACTGAGAGGTGTTTGTCTTCTGACGTCATGGACAGTGAATTACACCTTCTGGGCTACGCAATACTGGGATCTGATCGCCGCGGAGGTGTAGTCGCCTTGTTTATCAGGTGTGGTGTAAACCTATATAAACCACACCTTTGACTCAATTGATAAAGCTGTTGAAGCTCTTGCACTTGAAGCCTGTACCGAATCGACGCAATTTGAAATTGTGCTGCTGTATAGGAGCCCTGATAGCGCTTCTAGCAGTTTCATTAACTTCATCCGCACTCACTCTGCGAACAGATGCCTGATAATGGGGGACTTCAAAGTCCCTGAAGTAAATTGGTATGACCTACCTTACGAGGCAGCGACAACAGAGTTGGCTGCCGAGCTTGTTGGCTTGACACTTGACACCCTTACACCAATTTGTCGATCGATCTACCAGGTACATGGTGGGTCATGCTCATTCCCACTTGGACCTAGTTTTCGCAGTCGGTTGACTTTGTGTGATCTTGAGTATGGTCCCCCTTTGTCATTCAGTTGTGCTCTTATTAGAGACTACGATTCACGCAGGGTCCGGTCTCCGAACATTTGGCACACCGACTTTCCGTCCATTAGAGCCAAGGCAGTAAGTTTCCCATGCATCATCTTGCCGGATGATGATATACGGCTTGGGATACGTTTAAGTCTTTCCTCTTCAATATATCCTACTCCCACATCCCTTTTTTGTTAGGATTACCAAAGCGAAGCCACCATGTTGCACTCAATTGCACACCAGCTAATAATAGACGCAAAATGCTGGCGGATCTACCGCACAGTTCTTTCAGAATACACTTTGCGACGTTATCTTGAAGCGCGGAATGCTTGCAAGAGTCCTTTACGAGCTACTAGACTTAGCTATGAAATGGAGCTGACTAACATCCTCTGCAAATCCCAAACGATTCTTCGCCTACGTCAAAAGGCGTAGTAACGTTGGCTCATCTATCCCAGTGTTATTAGGCGGCGACGACGCCACTGACAACACTGGTCACGCAAAGCATGTCTACTCAGTGCGCTGTATGCCGGGACTTTTGTTCGGGATGAGCACTTGCCGCATCTTGACCTATCAATGAGAGTCCCACAGGACTCCTGTTTAACAGACGTCTCATTTTCGGTTTACAAGTTCCTCATCTTCGGGGGCTAAATCCGCTGGGATGGATGATATTAAACCTAAGCTTTTGTACGAACTCGCAAGCGAGCTATGTGACCCAGGGACGCGTTTGTTTCAGTTGTCGCTTCGCGGCTGCTCTTTTCCCAAGGACCGGAAGCATGCTATCGTCTGCACAACTTTTAAAAAGGGCGACAAGCATCTCCCTGCCAATTATAGACCGGTAAGTTTGACAAGCATACTAGTCAAGGTATTAGAGAAGTTGGTCAGAGATGTGCTTGAAAACCACCTGCGGGAGTTTGGTCTGCTCAGTCCACTTCAAAACGGCTTTCGCAAGGGTCATTTTTGCATGACTACTTTGCTAGTTGCACTCTAAGGTTAGGCGGATGCTTTGGATCCGGGTCATGCAGTAGATATAGTGTTCATTGACTTCTCCAAGGCGTTCGCATTGTATCACATTCTCGCCTCTCCTTGAAGCTTTTGACTTATGGAATATCAGGGCGTGCACTAAAATGGAGCACTACGTTTCTGGAAGAGAGAGAGAGATGTGTATTCGTGTGGGGTCCAGTCTGTCTTTCCGTCAGTCAGTCCTCAGTGGGATCCCTCAGGGTTCGGTGCTTGGCCCATTGTTATTTTCTCTGTATGTCAATGAGCTGCCCGAACTGCTGGAGGTACCATCTCTCATGTTTGCAGATGACCTAAAATTTTGGCACACTGACCTCGATGGACCCCAGACTCTGCAACGAGCCCCCGTTAAACTTCGGGACTGGGCTGCTCTGTGGCAGTTGCTCAAGTTATGCAGTGTTCCATCTTACGAATAGGGCCAAATAGCCCCCAAACGGGTTATTTACCTGGCGGTAATGAACTCCACCATGTTACCCAATTGGTAGACCTAGGGGTCACGTTGTCTTCAGAACTTAAATCCAGTGAGAACTGGAGCAAAACTACGTGCAAGGGTTTCAGAATGTTGTGGATAATCCACAGGGCATTCAAAATCGTCACGGGCGCTGTTTGTTAGGTTATTCTCAGCATTTGTCAGGCCACACTTGGAATACTGCATCCAGGCTTGTCCACCTTGCATAGTCAGGGACAGGATGTCAGTGGAGAGTGTTGACAGTTGGAACCAAACTGGTTCATGGACTATGAAACCATTCTCACCCAGAAAGACTACGTGCGCTGGGATGTTCTTAATGCATTATCGTCACCATCGAGGCGACCTAGTCTTGACCTATCGCATACTTACCGGTAAAATCGGACCCAATTTATCTAGGCTTTTCCAGCCGGCTCGGCTTCCATCGCTCCGTGGTCACTCGCTGAAACTACGCAAACCTCGCTCGGATGGAGTCCGGGCGGACTTTCGTTTATCACACCGAGTGCTGGATTCCTGGAATGCACTTTCCGAGAACGTAGTATTGGCACCAACGGTGAAAGAGTTCGAACACCGACTCGACGCTCTTGGCCTTCAATTCTTAACATTCCCCTTCACCTAGCTTATTCGCCTTATTGAATTATTAAATCTATTACGTTTTTTCTTGACGTTGTTATTACTTTCGTACTTCTGTTTCTTATTTCACGTGACCGGTGCGGCGGGGACTGCCAGTGCAGGTCGCGTGGGTATTAATTGGTTGACCGTGGTGTAGTTTGCGCGCGCTGATCTGACTCTTCTGGATTCTAGTTATCGCGGACGGATAAAAACCTGGATCGACAACGCGCCACGGAATGAACGTTCACGGGAATTTATCCTCGTGTTCCAGTCCCACTTGAACTTGAACTTCCAATTATTGACCATTTCGCGCACTTTATACTAGTTGCTAGTGAGCGAATACGGATTAATTTGATGCATTCTGAATCATTATTTCGGTTCGACTACCTAGCTTTATGTTTGCGGATTCGATTAGCTGCATTGAGCATCCTTGAACTTGAACACCCGAGTCACTGGTCAACCAATTAATGCACAGGTTCCCTGCACTATCGGTCCCTGCTGTGCCAATTAAGTGAAGTAAACAAAGGATAGAACGTAATTTAAGGTAGAGTTCTCATGGAACTGGAACGTTAGAGGAATCCCGTGAGTGTCCCATCTTGAGTGGGTCGTTGAGCCAAGAATCGGTGAAGTGTTCAGAGTTCTTGATCGATCTAAAACGAAGCACCCGTATTGCCCCCTGGCCAATCTGTTGCTGCCTATGTTTCCTGCCCTGCTGTGGCATTCACTTAAAGTTAGTAAAGCATAGAAAAAAAGTCGAAGGTACAGAATAAGGTAGTTCACTTGAAATAACAGGATATTACCAATGCATGAGAGTAAAGGAAAGAAAATCGAAGTATGAAGATTATAGTCGAAGAGGGAAATGTTTCCTGTTGCCACCCAAGTTGCTGCTCAAACCCCCTTAACCCTAGATTCCTTGACAACACTTTCCAGAAGCATGTTCCAGCGCTTGATGACAGCGTGACAGCCGGATTTGCGCGCTACTCCGATCGGACCGCGGTTTGTCCAGCTTCATGGAATGACCGCGTAGAACAGACCAACTTTCCCAGTTAAGTTAGGATTAGGTTTCCTCTAAGCCTTTGGTAGTGCATTGAATACATTCCCAAGCTAAATACACGCTTGGGGTACGTCCGCCCCCGCAATCCCTCAACTAACCTACTACCCACCCGTTAAGCCCTCTAGGTCTCTTTTGTCCCGCACGAGGCAGGGCGGACAAGCCTGGACGCAGTATCCCAGCTAAGGCCGTAGGAAAGCCGAGAACAGTCTCGCAAAGATGCCGCCCGTCAAGATTCCAAATAACACCGTATTAACCACATCATGTAAACCTATGCTTCCGACCTTCCAGTTGTCGCCGGAGTGTGAAGTCGAAGGGTGCACGACGCCCGGATCAACTTGGCTAGGTACACGGGGGAGTTCGACCCCACCAGCCAAGTAATTCGCAGGACAATTTCCTCCACTTCGAAGAACAGCGCTGTCTGATTTATGGGCAGTAATCATAAAGTAGACCAGTTTCAAAGCTTATTCAGGGCTCGCTGAACAGCTTCGCCCCCTCCCCCCAAAAAAAACATCGACAATGTTCCACAGCTTCAAGTCATCAGCAAATAGCAGCGATGGTACCTCAAGCTCCGTGGGTAGGTCATTCACATAAATAGCGAACAGCAGCGGTCCAATGATGGAGTCCTGCGGCACGCTACTGAGGACGGAATGCCTAAACGATGGACCACGGCCTACCCGTACAAACAGTTCTCTACCATCCAAAAAGAGTCACACAATGAGGGGCGCGACCAGATACTCCTTCGGGTGTCAACTTTTGCACAAGCTTGAAATGAGGTACCTTGCCAAATGCCTTCGAAAATACGATGAAAAGCACGTCCATTGCGTGGCTTTTATCCACTGCATCCGCCCAACTTTCGCGAGCCACCAGTAGGTTCG